GAGCGCGCCGGTTAAAAAAAGCACCGGGGAGCCGGGAGAAGCGGGGGGCCGTATTAAATCCGACCGCGGGCCGCATTTGGCCCGCGGGCCGGACTTTGGACATGCCTGGTCTAGACCATCCCCAACAGGTGTCTGTCCAACCTGCTCTTCAATATCTCCAGGGATGGAGATTCCACAACCTCCCCAGGCAACTTATTCCAGTGTTTAATCACCTTGAAAAGCACCGGGGAGCCGGGAGAAGCGGGGGGCCGTATTAAATCCGACCGCGGGCCGCATTTGGCCCGCGGGCCGGACTTTGGACATGCCTGGTCTAGACCATCCCCAACAGGTGTCTGTCCAACCTGCTCTTCAATATCTCCAGGGATGGAGATTCCACAACCTCCCCAGGCAACTTATTCCAGTGTTTAATCACCTTGACCGGTAGGAAGTTTTTCCTAATGTCCAACCTAAACCTCCTTTGCGGCAATTTAAGCTCATTGCGTCTTGTCCTGTCCTCAGAAGTCAAGGAGAACAATTTTTCTTTCTCCTCCTTGTAACACCTTTTTAGATACTTGAAAACAGCTATCATGTCCCCCCTCAATCTTCTCTTTTCTAAACTAAACAAGCCCAATTCTTTCAGGCTTCCCTCATGGGTCATGTTTTCTAGACCTTCTCCAATTTCACCACCTTTCCTGGAATGTGTCCAGAACTGGACATGATACTCCGACTGAGGCCTAACCAGCGCAGAGTAGAGCGGAAGAATGACTCCTTGTGTCTTGCTCACAACACTCCTGTTCATCCAGCCCAGAATCCTGTTTGCTTTTTTTTGCAACAGTATCACACTGTTGATTCGTATTTAGCTTATGGTCCATGATGACCCCTAGATCCCTTTCTGTGATGTTCCATATAATGTACTGGCCTATCTCTGGCAGTGGACAGTACCCACTGCTTTACCAAGGACACCAGGACATACGTAGTAGACAACTGTGACCAGCTGCAGGCCACTTGTGGTTGGTTGGTGCCCTGAAATGAGACTCGATACCTCTTGTCTAGCATAAAAATGTGCAGCTGGGGATCGTCTCGTTAGCCACAGGACTGGCTCCTTATGTGAATCTAAGCAGTTGGTAACATCCTGAGACAGTGAGTTCCACAGGTTAGACAGGAGTTGCGTAAGACGGGGCACGTTTGTCAGTGTTAAGTTTGTTGCCAAATTTGGGAGGGACATTTGGCGATTAGAGACTCATTTTCACCTGGTAAGTCTGTGACTCTTCCGTTCTCCACAAAGTTGTTCTGTGTCTGATTTTCATGAGCAGCAGCTATTGGTACTCGGGGTTGTTGACATTTCTACTTCTGTTCATTGAGCGGTGTACATGAATACATCTCCCCATGCCCTCCGATACCTGGTATCGCGGCGCTGTAGGGGAAGGGATGGAGTTGTGAGCTCTACTTATGGAGCAGTCGGTTAGATGGGACCCTTGGAGCCATCTGCTCTGATCTCCTATACGTTGCTGGCCACAGATCCTCACCCACCCCCTGGAACAGACCCATAACCTCTGGCTGAGTTACTGAAGTCCTTAGATCCTGGTTTAAAGACTTCATGTTAGAGAGACTCCACCATTTACCCAAATTTAACCCTACGGAGCGGAGAAAATTCTCATCTGAAGGGATCTCTCTAAAAGATGCTTATAGGATTTCTGAACTACCGCCCCCCCCCACACACACACACACTCTGCTTCCCTCAGAAAGTATCCCCACCACCATTATGTGCTTTCTTACTCCTTTCCCCATTGAACACACACATAAGAATGGCCATACTGGGTCAGACCAACGGCCCATCTAGTCCAGTATCCTGTTTGCCAACAGTGGCCAATACCAGATGCCCCAGTGGGAGGGAACACAACAGATAATCTTCACATAATCCCTCTCCTGTCAGCCATTTCCAGATACAGAGGCTGGGGACACCATTCCTACCCATCCCAGCTAATTGCCATTGATGGACCTAACCTCCATGAATCTATCTAGCTCTTTTTTGAACCCTGTTAAAGTTCTAGCCTTCACCACATCCTCTGGTGAGGAGTTCCACAGGTTAACTGTGCGCTGAGTGAAGCAAAACTTCCTTTTGGTTGTTTTAAACCTGCTGCCTATCCATTTCATTTGGTGACCCCTAGTTCTTAAACTGTGGGAATAAGTTAATAACTCTTCCTTATTCACTTTTTCTGCACCAGTCATGAGTTTATAGACCTCTGTCCTATTCCCCTTAGTCTCCTCTTTTCTAAGATGAAAAGTCCCGGTCTTTTTAATCCTTCTTCATATGGGACCTGTTCTAAACCCCTCGTCATTTTTGTTGCCCTTTTCTGAACCTTTTTCAATGCCAAGAGATCTTTTTTTGAGATGAGGCAACCACATCTGCACGCAGGATTCCAGATGTGAGTGTTCCATGGATTTATATAGAGGCATTAAGATAGTTTCTGTCTTATTCTCTATCCCTTTTGTAATGATTCCTAACGTTCTATTTGCTGTTTTGCCTGCTGCTGCACACGGAGTGGATGTTTTCAGAGAACTATCCTTAGTGACCCCAAGATCGCTCTCTTGTGTAGTTGTAGCCAAATTAGACCCTATCGTATTATATGTACAGTTGGGATTATGGTTTCCAATATGCATTACTTTATATTTATCAGCATTACATTTCATTTGCCATTTTGTTGCCCAATCACTTAGTTTGGCAAGATCTTTTTGAAGCTTTTCACAGTCTGCTTTGGTCTTCACTATCTTGAGCAGCTTGGTATCCTCTACAAATTTCTCCACCTCAATGTTTACCCCTTTCTCTAGATCATTTATAAATAAGTTGAATAGGTCCTTGGACTGACCCTTGGGAAACACCAGGGAGACCCCACTAGTTACCTCTCTCTAATCTGAAAACTTCCAATTTATTCCTAACCTTTGTTTCCTGTCTTTTAACCAGTTACCAATCCATGAAAGGACCTTCCCTCTTATCCCATATCAACTTACTTTACTTAAGAGCCTTTGGTGAGGGACCTTGTCAAAGGCTTTCTGGAAATCTAAGTATACTATATCCACTGGATCCTCCTTATCCACATGTTTGTTGACCCCCTCAAAGAACACTAGTAGATTAGTAAGGCATGATTTCCCTTTAGGGGAACCATGTTGACTTTCCTCCAACAAATTATATTCATCCATGTGTCTGACAATTTTATTCTTTACTATAGTTTCCATAATTTGGCCGGTACTGATGCCAGACTTACCGGTCTGTAATTGCCAGGATCACCTCTAAAGCTCTTTTTAAATACTGGCGTGACGTTAGAAATCTTCCAGTCATTAGGTATGGAAGCTGATTTAAAGGAGAGGTTACAAACCACAGTTAATAGTTCTACAATTTCCCATTTGAGTTCTTTCAGAACTCTTGGGTGAATGCTATCTGGTCCCGGTGACTTGTTACTGTTAAGATTATAAATTTGTTCCAGAACCTCCTCTAATGACACCTCAATGTGGGACAATTCCTTAGATTTGTCACCTAAAAGGAATGTCTCTGGTTTGAGAATATCCCCAATATCCTCAATCATGAATTTGATTTTTTTTTGGTAAACTTTTGGAAATTATTTCTGAAAGCTTTTTTAAATATATGTCTGTAAATACACTGTTCAGAATTTGTTAGAAACAGTGCTTTTTTTTGTAAAACAAAAAAAAAAACAAACACACAAAAAAAAGGTGCCTGTACTCCAGGGGAAAAGTTGTTGAGCTCTGACTGAAGGTGCAGGTACTGTGTCTAGAGGTGCCAGTACTGCATACTGGTCAGTACCATCACAAAAAAGCACTGGTTAGAAATATTTACCCTTCCATAACCTAATTTTTAGAGCAGTCACTGGGAAATGGGGTAGATCTAGATCTGATCTGACCACTTCTGAAAGATGACACCAAACATGTTAGTAGTATAAAAACATAACACTTAGCAACAAGAAAAATAAGGGTTATTTGATGACAGTGACTTTATCTCTAAAAGGAAAAAACTGCTACCCTTTTATAGCCACCTAGTAGACTGGCTTTGGTGGCTTACCCAATGTGCAATCTCAGCAATAGTCTTTGTGAAGTTTATCACTATTTGACTATTGACAAATTTAGCAAAGTATGCTAGATCTTTACATAGCATAGGGGACATAAATACCTTTGACAAAGTAAGTTAACCATTGACAGGTATAGTATTCATGTGTTCTCATTGTCAAGATAAGAAACCCCCAAATAAGCATTAGTTCTCAAAAATCGCTCTGTGTACTAGATTGACTTAAGGTAGGAAAAAAATTGAAGTTACAAGCAGGTTTTGGAAATAATGTGAAAAATTAGTGTTAAGACTTAAATCAATGAATTAAATCTATTATTTCTATGAAGTGATGTAGTCAAAACATATTTACATAGGCTATGTCTACACATGGCCAGCTTTTGCGGCAGAAAATATGCTAATGAGATGCATTTGCATGAGTCACAACATCATTAGCATATTTTCTGCCGCTTCTGTTTTGAGCAAAATCCCCCTTTTACGCAAGATCCTTATGCCCGAGAAGGATCTTGCGCAAAAGGGGTTTTTTGCCAAAGTGGAAGCAGCTACACTGCTTCTTTTTGCGCAAAAACCCCTTGTGCAAAAAGAATCGGCAGAAAATATGCTAATGATGTTGCAACTCATGCTAATGAGTCCCTCATTAGCATATTTTCTGCTGCAAAAATTGGCAGTGTAGACAAAGCCATAGAGTATAAGGTCAGAAGATCATCTAGTGAGCCTACATAAGTGCATGTCACAGACCATTAAATATCACCCAGTTACCTCTATATTGAGTGTAATAACTTGTATTTGGCTAAAGTATATCCTCCTGCAATGCATCAAGGCTTGTTCTGAAGATATCAAGAGACAGAGAACCCACCACTTCCTTGTGCAGTTTTTTTCAGTGATTTATTCAACTACCTGTTTAAAAATTGTGGCTAATTTCTAATTTCAATTTGTCTGGCTTCAGCTTCCAACTACTGGTTCTTTGTTCTGCCTTTCTTTACTAAATGAAGGATCTTTTCATTTCCTGATATTTTCTCCCTCTGAAGACACTTAGGGTACATCTACACTATGGTTTTTTTCCGGGATACCAGAGGTATCTTGGAAAAACTCCGCCGTGTCCAGGGAACGTGTTTGCTCTTCTGCTTTTTTATTGTTGCGGAAGTGCAGACACGCTCTTTTGGAAGCCCTGTCTTCCTCATTCAATGAGGAAGAAGAGATCTTCCAAAAGGGGGATTTTCTGAAATTTGACCTAGTGTAGATGGGCCAAATTTTGGAAAAGCCTCTTCTGAAAAAAAAATTGGAAAAAGCTACGCAAAATGCAAAGCGCATTTTGTGTAGCTTTTTCTGGGGGAAAAAAAAGCTGTAGTGTAGATCTAGCCTTATTCACTGTAATAAAGTGACCACTCAAACTTGTTTGTTTGTTTGTTTGTTTATTTATTTATTTATTTATCAATCAATCACCAGTGATGTACTGAGAGGTAAAATCACGTCCTTACTCCTACCTACTACCCCCCTGTTTATACAGCCAAAGATCGCATTAGCCCTGTTTTGACAGCGAATTACACTAAGCACCTATGACAAGTTGCTTGTCTACTCTAATCCTTAAAATCTTTTCATAGTTACTGCATTCCTTCCAGGATACAGACCTTCACTTTGCATTCCTCCTTCCTGAAATATAACTTTGATTTTGGTTATATTAAAACATGTTTTGTTTGTCTTGGCCACATTTACTAGATTGTTCTGCATGACTTCTGTCCTTATTTACCTACTACACCATCAATCTTTGTGTCATCTGCGCATTTTATCAGCAATGAGTTTACATTTACTTCCAGATCATTGATGAAAATATTGAATAGCATCAGACTTAGGACTAATATTTGCTGGACAAGTATTTTTAAGATCTGTCAGTTAACCAGTTCTTCATATGTTACACATGTGCTATATTTATAGTGTATAGTGATAACTTTTTAATTGAAAAAATCATGCAGTATTAAGTCAAATATCTTACAAAAGTCTATATATTTTATTGAAGATACAGTTACCTTTATCAATCAAACTCGTAGTTTCATCAAAGAATAAAATCAGATTTGTTTGACAAGACCTAATTTCCATAAAACTATGTTGACTGGCATTACTTATATTAATATCCTTTAATTCTCTATTATATGAATGTCAGTTTAGCTTTTCCATTATTTTGTTTATGGGGGTGATGGAAAGATAACTGGCCTATAGTTATCTGAGATAACCCACTTACCCTTTTTGGATACTCACACAGAAAAATAACTTTTCCAGATTTCTAAAAATATGCAAATTTATTAAAAATTAAGATTTCTTAAAAATTAAAATCAGCAAGCCAGAGATCTCATTGGCCAATTCTTCTGGAGTTTTGGGTGTAAATTATACAAGCCTGCTCATTTAAAAATGTTTATTCCTAATAGATATTTCTTAAGATTCTCTTTATTTGCTAAATGACTTGGAAAGTACTTCATCATTTACATAGGATATGAGTATATCATCCTGTGTCTTTCTAAATAAAGAAGATAAATATTTATTGAACATTCTGTCTTTTCTGAGTCATTATAAAGAATATTACTATTACCATCTATAAATGGGCTTATAACATTGCTAGGGTTTGTTTTATTCTTACTATGCTTAAACACCTTATTGTCCTTAGCCCTGACAGCCGGGGATAATTCTCTGATGCTTTTAGCTTCCCTTATCAGTTTTTGGCACACCATAACTTCCAATTTTAATCTCTTTTCCCATTTTCCTCATTTGATATTGCTTTTAGCCAAAGTTATCATCTTTCTTGATTTGTATTATTTCGTATAACTTGTATAATCTTTCTTGAATTCTTATGTTCATATGTCTTGTGTTATAGTGAAATCTTTCTTTTTTTGTCCATTTAATAAACACTTCTTAAAGAACTCCTAATTTTCATTCACATTTTTCTGTATATTTTTTCCTTCCAATCGATTGTGTTCATGATTTTCCTCAGTTTTCAGAAATTAACCCTTTAAAGTGAGAGAGAGAGAGAGAGAGAGAGAGTTGGAATGCTTCTTTGTCCACACTGAAAGTAATCAGGAGGATCTCTCATACCAGGCAACCACCAATGTCCAATCCAGTGATTAGTTTATCTTTATTCATCTTAATTAAGGCATACATCTTTGTCCTAATCTCTTCAGATTTTGCAAAATACCCCCATAGACACATTACAAATGCAGAATCCGAAGTGTACAAAGCCTATATTTGAGGATTATATATTATATGGGTGTGAAATCATGGAAAAAATGCCAAAAACATCCAGATATGGTGAAATTAGTGACTCTCAATAATCCTGATCCTACAAGTTGCAGCATGAGAGTAGACCTTTATACCAGTGTAGAGCACTGTGGAAATCAGTGGGGTTCTGCAAAGATCCAGGAGTCTATCTGCATCTTGCAGAGTCAATTATATTATTTATTATCTTTGACAATTGAAATGTGGGTATGTTTTGACTGTGGGAAAATGAATTGATAATGGATTTGGGTTTCTAATGGCATCAGGAGGGTCTACTGATTAAACTTTATCTTTCCGACTATGTCTTTAATTAAGATTTAGAAAATAAATAAAACCTTGTCAAGACCATACACATCTAAAGCACAGAGAACCCAGAGAAGAACTATAATGCCTCCGTGTGTGTGTATGTGAGGTGTGATTGCTATTCCGTCCTATAACTAGCACTGCCAGAATAGAGAGAACTGAGTCCTTTGAGGTAGGGGATAAGACCACTAAAGAAAACCAGACCTTGTTAAATTTATGTACCATGTCTAAGTACTTTATTGGTTCTCATTCAAGCCCCATAGGATCATTTAACATTGACCCCTTTGTGTTAGAGGAGAGCACTACAAACTGTTGCTCTTGCTTGATGGTCTGGTGGCAATACCAGCAAGGGACTCCCTCCCCGTGACCTTTGACTTCCCATAATCTGCATAGAGGAATGACAGGCATTCAGCAACAGGAACAGTCGTGAGCGGGGTTGCAGCCGGAGGAGGTGGACTTGCAAGCCAGGCTGTGAGCGGCAGAAGTTCCAGAAGTCTGAAAGTCAAACAGCCAGCCCCGGGAAAAGGTGAAATGAACCCTTGGAAATGCATGTGGCGGAGAATACGTGACCGCAGGAGCAAGAGAGCCGCATGATTGCTGGACCCCGGCCCCTCTTAAAAGTTAAGAAATGGGCCAGACCTCAGTCTCCTCTCTGTCTGAGCAAGCCAGCGGTGAGTAGCACTGGAAGCAGCGAGCGAGTCCTGCCGCCCGCCTCCCCGCAGCGGCTGTGCGGTGGGCGCTGTAATTGTTCTTTTCTCCGTTGAATGAAAAGTCAAATGGCAGCGAGTTAAACAAGCTGAGCGTGTCCGTGACCCATTAATTCCCTTAGATGGACGGGACAGCAGCGCTGCACCAAATTCTTTGTGGGGGGGGGGAATGGTAAAATGCCTTTGGGGTTGCTGCAGAGTTTGTCTTAAAGGCACAATGCACTCTTTTCTTAAAAGGATGCCTTAATTTGCTATTTATTCGAATGCTCTTTTATTAATTTAATCTTGGTAGATCTAGAACTAGCCCTTTTTTAAATAACAAAGTTAACTTGCTTCAAATAGATATGTATGTAGCTCAGGGAATCACAAATTCCTTGCTGTTACTGTCTTTTTTTAAAATCAGAAACTGTTTGTCTACGTGTTTTTGTTGTTCTGCTTTGAAACAGATAGAAAGATACCAGTAAGCAATGGAGTTCTGCTTTCTATCAGTGCTTCTTAACTGCTACTTTAAATATATTAGTTTTGGTTTCATGCATATATATTCCTTCTGCTTCTCCCCGCCCCTTCTGATTCCACTGAAAACAAACACTGTCTAACCATACCAAAAGTGTTTAATTCTGCACTAATATATATTCTCTTTACTCATTTATTTGTAATTTTTAAAAAGACATCAAGAAGGCACAATTGATATGTAACCAAAGGGTGTTCTTCTGAGAACATGAACAGGTTCTCTCTGAGTTGCAGTGCGCTGCTTCTTTCCTCTCTCCCTCGCCCCTGCATTTTTTTATGTTTTAATTAAAAAAAGAAAGGAAGGAAGGGACCTCTGGCATTTATCCCAGCAGTATGGATAGAACCCACCCATCTGTTTGCTCTTGGCTCTCTTACATTTTATGTGTAAGCTGACTATTTAAAAGAAACATTATTGGAATTTTTTTTAAAAGCAGTTTTGTGTTTTTCTAAATTAACTTTTTGAAGATTAATATTATGTGTTTGATATTTTGAGGCAGAAGCATGTTGAAATAACCTGGTATGTTTTAGTAACTGAACAAAAGATCAGCTAACCCCCACAGTCATAAAAGGGAATGTGTAATCTAAATTAATACCAGCAAGGTTTGAAATTTCCAGTAAAAGCTTATGTGCTCAGATTTTTTTTTTTTTTTTAAACACCTCTTTCTCTTGCCATAGTTTAAAACAGGCAATCAAGAAAACTCTGGTAAGGCTGGCCAATCTGTATTTTGCAGTTGTTTAAGAGGATGTTTAGTACTACAGATATGGGAAACTTTTGTAAAACAAGAAACTGTACATCAAACTCATTCCCCTTTTTTACTGTCAGGTTTATTCATAGTGCTGTGAGGTATAGAGAATGGCTGTATGAAAACACAGTTTCTGGAAAATTATATCATGTTGCAGATGGTACAGTTTTCCGTTCCTCCCCATTCATGATCCTAGTAAAATTATCTGTGTAAGAAAACTATGATTATTCCTTCTCCTGACCTACTTTGTCATCTATGATGATACAATAGAGAAATTTGGTCATGTTTTTAAAGGTCTCGCCCAATAGCAAACACATTAGAATTTTATTAAGGTACCTGTTGTTAGAAAACAAATGTAAGGAAACCGATGTCAGATAGCTTTGTAAACTTCCTTTACAAAAATGTGTTTGTGTTTTGGGTGTCGTTTGGGGACAGAGTTTGTATATCTTGAAATGTGTTAGTAGTGTTTATATTTTCCATGGTACATGCCCTTGAAGACTAATTGTACTGGTTTATAACTAATTTTAAAAAAATCTCGGCATCCTCTTTTTTATTGAAAACAGCACTGTCACTCAGGAGAAAAAAAAAAGAAGAAATGAAAACCAGCTGTAAAATGTACATTTTGATTGTGTTTTGTGACACTGCAGACGTTACGATAATTATGAAAATTTTAACTGACAATCATATCTTTATGATTCTGAAGTTAGAAGTGGTCTTGTGTGAATACCCTTACAGTAAGAAATTGATGGAGCTTTCAGAGAGTTCAACAAAACTTCAGTAAGCTTCTGAAAATGTCTTGGAAGTATAGTCTCAGAGACACACATGTCGGTGCGTGGGTCCTATGGATTCTGTTTCTCTGTCTAGTCTGTTTTACAGGTATGGCTTAAAAAGTCATAAGCGGGTGAATCCAGCCCCAATGAAGTCCGTGTAATGACTTCCTCTTGACTCCAGTGATGCTAGGTTGTGCCCTCATAAATAGGCAGGTTGGCATGCCAAACTGAATGAAGATTTTTTGCCTGACAACTACAACTGTATAAATTGTTGACTGTTGCTAGAGATTAGAGAGTTAGAGGAACGCTTTACTGTTTATACACAGGAGATGCAAATCTGTTTTAATACTAAGGAATCAATAAGGTACCACAGGACTCCTCGCCACTTAAGGAATCAATAGGGCATTCAGACCCTAAGCCACCCAAGCAAAAGCAGCTGTGAAAAGCATACATGTGCCTGGGGTTTCAACCACTTTCTTGTCCAAATTAACTTTTAGGCCCCAATTGTGTAATATGATTTCCTAGTATGGACTATTGTGCCTATGTGGAGCTAAGAGTACAGTATCTGGCACTAGGGGGCTGCACTGCAGGATCAATACTTCAGATCTGGTCATGAAGCAGAAATTAGTTTGGTATAGAAAAAAAATTAAAATGAAGTTTTAGGGAGTTCTAGCCCAGAAAATGGAAAATGTCAGATGTAATGATTTATTTTAAAGTAAAGATTTTATTTTTAAAGGGGGTTGAGAGGAGGCCCTACAAAGTAAGTTTGCTTGGTATTTATCTGGATGTGTGTGTCAAAAGGCAAAGACCCCAATGAAGGAGGGTCCAAAATAACTTGTAAGTGTTTCCCATGAGTATCTTGCAAGATCAGGGCTAAACCTAAAACCATAGTTAGCATTAATTCTGCAAATTACATTTACATCTTAAAACAAATTGCCTCTTCCTGTCTGTGTACAAAATTTGCACTTATATCTGTCTCTCATTCATAACCATATCTCCCAAACCTCCTTCATGCTACACAATGATGCTCCCTAGACATTAAGAGAGACATTATCTAGACATTAAGAGAGACAGTAAACTATTTTGAACCTCAGACTTGCTACAAAAATAAAATGACTTGCTATGGACCAGATTAGAAGTGTTAGGAAGCGAGTAATTAGCTAATCGTGTAGTCGATAGAATGTCTATCGACTACACAATTAGTCAATAAAGGAGTTAAACCCCACCCCGTTGCAGCTCTGCATTTTAAATGTAGCATGAGCCGAGTTGCCTGCCCACCTGGCTCTTACTACATTTAAACTGCAGAGCTGCAGCAGGGGTAGCTCCTGGACCTGGCACAAGCTGGCTGCTGTGGCCAGGCCCTGGCTCGCGGACAGAGGCTGCTCCGGCAGCATCCCCTGTCCTCAGGGGGTCTGAGCTCCTTGTGGACAGGGGCTGCTGCTGGAGCAGCCTCTGTTTGTGGCCAGCCCCAGCTGCCACAGACAGGGAATGTGGAGCTGCCTCTGCCTGCAGCGAGCCTAGGCCTGCCGCAGACAGAGTCTGCTTCGCAGCACCCTCTCCTAGCTCCCTCCTCCCCCACTGCTGCCTCTGATAGAGGTAGCAGCGTGTGGGGGAGGAGGCAGCACTGAAGAAGCTGGTTCCCTCCAGCACCAGCTACTGTTTGCCCCCCACTTGCTGCTTCTGATACAGAGAGGCAGCAAGGGGGATAGAATGTGAGTAGTCAACTATTCACATATATCCCTAACCCAGATTCAGCAAAGCACTTAACATAACCCTTACTGGGCCTTATCCACATGTTTATAGTGAAGCACTCTTTTTTTTTTTATTTATTTTTTCCTTAAACCACTCAGTATTTTCTCTTTGCATAAATGTATCTTCCCTCCTGTAATTTTAGTGTCTTTCCCCTCTGATTAGCTTATTTTTTATACTTTCTTCTCATTAAGGAACTATTTTTTATTTCATTCATTGTGTTGACATACAGGCTGTGTCTACACTGGGCCACTTATTCCGGAAAATCAGCTGCTTTTCCGGAGTAAGCTGCGAGCTGTCTACACTGGCCCTTGAATTTCCGGAAAAGCAACGATGCTCTACTGTACAAAATCAGCCGCTATTCCGGAAAAACTATTCTGCTCTCACTCGGGCATAAGTCCTTATTCCGGAAAACTGTTCCGGAAAAGGGCCAGTGTAGACAGCCCAGTAGTCTTTTCCGGAAAAAAGCCCCAATCGCGAAAATGGCGATCGGGGCTCTTTTCCGGAAAAGCGCGTCTACATTGGCCACAGACGCTTTTCCAGGAAAAGGGCTTTTCCGGAAAAGCAGCCTGCCAATGTAGACGCTCCTTTTCCGGAAAAACTGAAAACGGAATAGTATTCCGTTTTAAGCATTTCCGGAAATTCATGCCAGTGTAGACACAGCCACATTGTCTTCACTGGTGTTAATACAGGTTTGCACTGGTGTAAAAGGAGGATCAGGTCCCAAATCTGTTCATTTCTCTAACCCAGAGGCTGTTCAATTACTGGTGGTGGTTAGTGGAGTACAGGCAGTCCCCGGGTTACGGACAAGATAGGGACTGTAGGTTTGTTCTTAAGTTGAATCTGTATATAAGTCGGAACTGGCTT